TAATGCAACCATTAGCTGAATGTACTATTAATAAAATCCTGGGTCACAAGTACTCACCTTAATATTTAAAAAAAAAATTATATATATTCTAAAAATTTTATTTAATTATAAGAATTTTTATTAAGAAAATTTTATATTTTATAATTATATAAAAAAATTTAAAATTTTTTTATATAAATATAAAATACTAAAATATATTAATAAAAAGTTATTAAAATTAAAAAAAATTTTAAAATATAAGTAATTTGTTCTTCTAAACAACTTTATTTAAGATATAAATATTAGGGAATTACTATTTGCACTATGGATTTTTACTATTTGCATTATGGTAACTAACATTATAAAAATCCACTTACCTTAACTCTAACTAATTCTGGTCATAATCTATATACCATGGTGCGAATAGCAAAAATCTATGATGCGAATAACAGTTCTCTAAATATTATTAACTTAGTAAAATTTTAACTTTTATATATAATTATAATTGTTAATTAATGAAATTATAATGTTTAATATCTTTTTATATTAGCTATTTGACCAATAAAATTACTTTATATTCAAATGACCCAAATAACATAATGACCAAATAACCTGGATCATTTAGGTAAATAACTAAATCATTTAGATTTTGAAGTCATTTACCATCTCTGGTAGAACCTGTATAGTAAGATATAGGTAAACTACTTAAATTAGACACCAAAAGTGCACATGTGACTAGTTGTAACCTCCTATATATGGATGCCCCTAAAGGCATCCATGTTCAAATATTTGAATAAAACAACAATTCCCAAAGGTAGGAACTTTAACTCAAAAAAAAAAAATTCAACCAATCAAATTTGATGAGTTTGTGTTATTCGGAAAATTTTAAAATGACCCAAAAAAACTTTGTAATATATACAAGTATATTTTTTTAAAATATAATAATAATTCAGAATTTTACCATAATAGATAAATTGGTTTTATATGTATTTTATAAAATTTTAATAAAAATCAGTTGTAATTTAAAAAATTTTTATTAGTAGCATATATCAATTTTATATGAAATATTCAATATACAATATGAAACTATATAAAAGTGATCTCTAAATTTAGCAGGGTTGTTAATAAAATTTTCTGAATAAATAAATGTGCAGATGCCACACAGAAAAATCAACATTTTGTAAATAGTGCGCACAGTTACAAACAGTTTCTTGCAATTTTTCTTATTTTCCGCACAGAAAAGTTTCCAAATTGTGCGGCATCCTCAGTAAATTTTAACGAAAAATTAACAATGATCCGGGCCATTTTGCCTTAACGTTAATTACTAGCAGAAATTGATTGTAATCGGTAACTTATCGATAACTTACCATTATGGCAAGTTATCACCACTTTTCTATAATTTTATTAGTCTTAAATTTACACACCCTTTTTGTTATATCTGAGTTAACATGTCAGGACTACATTGGACCCGAAAAACCGTTTATAAGATTGTAATTATCCAAATTGACAAATTATTATTATTCTAATTAAAAATTTTATACATATACAGTATGTATGTACTTATAAAAATTCCAAAAGTGTATAAATTGGCAATTTTATACTTAACATCAAAACGAATACTATTTTTTAGAGTGATTTTATTAAAAATGTATGCATATGATATTTGAACCACCAATAAAAATAAATTCTTTATTAAAGCAGAGAGAACCACTCTAATAGACCTTCGTTAAAAAAAAAACAAAAAGATGCCCACTCACATTAGAATCATTAAATTATTAATTAAATGTATAATATACAACTTAAATATTCTCAAACGTCGTCTAAGGTTAAATTAAACATTAATTACTAACCATAAAACACAAAGAACCGTTATCTTCCCCATAAATTCAGAACCTCACTTAGAATAACCCACCCAAATAATAGTAAAATAATAGTAATAATAGTAGTAGTAATAGTAATAATAATGATAAACCAGATCTGAAGAAAAAAAAAAAGGGAAGAGATTATAAATAGGATTATATGGTAAATCATATAAATTAATATAATAATAATAAAGGAAATATGTTTAGTAGAAATTAAAAAGAGTCAATAAAAAAAAATTTTTTTTTACATGACTTCAAGTTTATAAAGTCCATTTACTCTCATCCCTTTATCATGAGTTAAACCATTATAATGTGAATCAGAAGTATTTTGATTGCTAACCAAAGAAAAAAAATCACCGCCAGTTTTGTGAGTTTGAGAAAATAATTTAGGATGAACAACGTTATGGAAATGGTGGCATGAATTATTTTTATTGAACAAATTATTCTCGTTATTAATTGAAGGAGAAACTTTATTCATAGGAGAAATTTCCGGAGGAGTTAAAATAGGGTTAAAGGCTTCATCACCATGCCATAACTCATCACGTTCATCTACTGGAGAAGAGTACAGTGGACTAGCTCTAGCGAATTGACCAGTAGACAGTGGACTTAAAGTATGTTGAGGACTTCGATTAAATTGAGGAGTAGGCGGAGTATAATAATTTGGTGTTGTTGGAGCGCTATAATAATCACGTTTTGGCAAAGATCGAAGAGATTTCGAACGAGGAGAAACGACAGTAAAATCGGCATCATTATTATTAGACCAAATTTTGGGGTTGAAATGATTAGCAGAAAGATGAAGCGAAGGAAGAAAGTCTCGGTCATCATTTTTAGGAGGAGTACTAGAAGGTGTTAATGGATAACCGAACATAGGGAACTCATTTAATTTATCATCATCAAGAACTTCATTTATATTAGAAGATAGTCTTTGTTCATTAACAGTAGGTAAGAAAGGATGATTAAGCGAAAGTCCAGGGGATTTAGAAAATAAAGAAAAGGTAGAATGAGAAGGTGCCGAGCTTGACATTGTAGAAGAAACCGAATGATCACAAGCGTTAGACTTTTTAAGCGGAGGGCCGATGGGTTGAAATCTTGGAGGTGGAGGGGATAAATTTTTTGAAAAACTAGTTTGTCTTGATAAAGAAGGAGTTGTGGATGAAGAACCTTTTGTTTGGGGGGGAGTTTGAGAAAGTTTATATCTTGTTTCTATCAAAGAAGACAAAGAATGATTTAAACTTGAATCAAAATTTTGATAATGCAATTTATAGATAGCATTATCCAGTTCTTGACGTCTCATTTGAAGGATCATGCGTTCCTCTTCTAACATCAATTGTTTTTCTGCCAATTCATCGTCATCTAGGAAAGAATGCATAATGCTATTGGGGGATAATGGTAAAGAAGTAAACGGATCGATAGAACTTGGAGACGAAGGATAGCCAGGAGTTGAAGACATTGGAGATGAGATATCCCAATCCGAATCTAGAAAAACATGGCCATACAAAAAAATTAAGCAGGCGTATACAAAACAAGGAATGAAAAAAGAAAATATACCAACCGCTCTTAAAACCAAATCTTGCATAGGAAGAATCATCGCTCAAAGGATCATCAAAATTTAAGGGTAAATCCTCATCTTGACCAAATCCAGGATAAGGAACTCCTGTGTAAGGTAAAGAAGCCAATCTGTGATGACCAGGATAGAAAGAACCATGACTGCGCTTGTTTTGTGGCGTATTACGAGTTGTTGGCAAATTTGGGTGAGAAAAGGATCGATGATGCGAGCGAACTATTAAAATAAAAAGTTGAATATTTTTTTTTTTCTAAAGAAAAAAAAAATTAAGATGTTGTACCATTCACTCTTCTCTGTGGTAGCAAATAATTCGGTGAAGAAAAGCCAGGATGCACTCGCCCAGGAGATCCATGATACCGATTGCTGTTATTCGTCTTTGCATTTTCCAACATTCTTGAAATATTCGAAATTTCTGAAATATTAAATAATTCTGGTGGTTAGTATTGATATTATGATCTTATCCGTTGTGGCACTAAATATGAGACTAAGTACCGTCAAATTGAGATTTAAAAGCGCGAGCTTCATAGTCGTCTTGAGAATCTAATAATTTTTTTTTAAAAATAGAATAAATAGAATAAATAACTGAAATAAAATAAAAATTTGTAAATACATTTTTATAAAGATTGTGGTTACCGATCGAAACGGCTCCATCGTTGTTCTGTCGATCATCAGTAGCATCCGCACTGACAATAGCTGCATCATCAGCGGTTATCTTTATAGTAATTCCATTTCCGACGATATCACCCATATTTGAACTAATATCGGACGCGACGTTTATTTCGTCAGATTTTTCTTGTTGGCAGTCGGTGATCGATTCGGAATCGGAAGCACTATCTACTAAACTCGCACTGCGAGAATCTGCAACATCAGTCATCATTATTTAACGTTTCTTCTTCTTCAAGAGGGGAGAAGCAAGATGGCGATGAGAGAATGGAAAGTAACGATTTGTTTTTTGTAAGACAAGTTTAAGATAATTATTTTAGAGATATACTGTAATTTATAAACTGAGTTCTAAATTGATTATTGAGGCATAAAGCACGAAGGTAATTAAAGTGGTTCTTTGCTAAATAAATTTACTAAGTCAAAAAAAAAAAAAAAGAAAAAAAAGGAAGTTTTTATTCTGTATTGTTTAATAGAATGCAAATCGTTATTAGATTCTCTAAAGTATTTTTCACTGCGTCTTCTTAAATTGAAGTCTCTGTTTTTAGTTAGACAAACAAAGAAATCAAAACTTTATTTTCTGGAAAAAAAAAAGTGTGACAAGAGGGCGGGACTTTTAAAGAAGAGCATATACGCCTTTAACGCTAAAAATGATGATGATGATCGCAGCGAAAGTCTAGTTATTGTTTCTCAAGATAAATTCCCAATTTTGGGAGATATTTAAGCTGACAGGTCAGTAATAGCCCATTAAACAGAATAATTTCTAACCTCTGTTTAAATATTCAAAGGCTATTGCTGCGGATATTCAACCACAAGTATCGATTCAGTCACTAGGATTTCATTCAAAAAATATTTAAAAGCTTCTTTTAAAACTATATGACATTTAAAAAATATAGATTATCAATTCTTATTTTAGATTCCAATTTCCGAGCGTAATATATAAATAGTTCGATGTCCGTTAACTTTGCGCTGTTCAATAAAGAGATAGAATGTGAATTCCAGCGATAGGTTGGTATCGATATCGGTATGAACCAAAATTTAGAAGTCATCATCATTAATTATACCAAACGACTAGAATGTTAAGCTGATCTCGAATTGACATTTATTTGCTTACCATTTTTGAAATGTTGAATCAACTGTTAAGTGTATTACATATCGATATTCGCACTTGTATGCAACTTTATATCCTATCTCATATGTAAAGAATTGCTCAAAATTCTTTAATTGTCTGACCGTTTAATCCAGTCAGCATTAAGTTAATTTCAGCCATTACAAACACATCGCTGACAGGAAACTTTTAGGTAGTTAATGTTTAGTGTAAATCACTTGCCGCGTTTATTATTAACGTTAATAACTGATTTAACTGATTTTGATTTAAAGATTTTCTTCGGAGTTGGTCCCCCAATAAGGAATAGCTATTGATCTGATTTCACACGATCTAAAACTAGATTTTTTGATTCATACGTGATTCATACGTAATTCGACTTCCATTCTTATCCTACTTAATTGTATCGAACCTATTCTTTCTCTACCATTTATTTAATCATGACTCAAGTGTCGAGTATACTCTCAATCATACTAACATCTCGTGTTTCTGCGCGATCCTCCTCGAAAATATATTGTACCGTTGTAATCAATTTAAAGCGCAGCCAATGACTGGTGAATAGGCTTCTGTTTCACATCAGTTTTAAGAAAATTTTCTTGTTCTCTATATAAACTTCGTTCTGTGTTAAAATGATCGCTTGTCTTTGTTTCTTTTCAACACGGTGGTCGATTTTATTACACTAATAGAAACTTGCTCATGACAATCTGTATATTATGTAACCGTTCGAATTATTCTTTCATACATAATAATGAAATCCTAAGATTGGCATTCTCATGCGATTACACAATCTTAAATCTTTTCAACACACACTGATGCAAACGTGTAACAAAATAACAAAGCCCCCTGTTTATCATATAACTTATCCATCTTTAAACTTATGTTAAAGCCTTATGTCGGATGTCCTCACATCAATTTATGTCATTCTTAATTTAGGTGTTATATATGCATGTGGTAGAAATAACATCACATGTAAATTTTGATGAATGATTAATCCAGTATTTCAAATTTTCCGCAAAATTATTTAACCGTTTAACAAATCTGTAAATACAGATTCCTTTCTTATTATTAGAACCAGTTATATTATATAATTTTTTCATACGATCGATTAAAAGCGACTCTTCTAATTTTGGGACTGAAAATTTGGCGCGGGTATTACATTTTACTAATAAAATTAGATCCAAATATAAGAGGCACCTCCACTTTTAACGTTAAGCCGCAAAAATCCCAAAGATCATTAAAAACTACTAAGGCAGGTTTCTGGAACCAGAGATGATCTTCGAAATTGAATTGGTAATAATCTACATATATATTTATAGCTTTAAATATAGCGATAGTAAAAATATTTATTGAGATATATTATAAAAAGGATAAAAATCCAGCAAGCTTTAATAAAATTTATTTATGTGTTTTGCTATTTAAATATTAGCATAATTTTTAATTAATTAATTAATGTCGCGGCTGATTATGAAATCGGATTATTGTGAAATTTAGGGTCTCAATTTGAAAATATAGGCCCTACCAAAATCC